ACCGGTACCGGACCGGACCGGACCGGCCGGTTGCCGGTACCGGTTCCATCTCTGGTATACACTATACAGCCTTGTTTAAAAGTGTATTGCGTCCCGCAAAAAATTGAACCTGCACCGCCCATGCTTGCTCTCGTTTGTTGTTCCTTATTCCTAGCAAATACTCGGATCCTATTGAGCTGTAAACGCAGATCAAAACATACTAGAGCTGTCGGCATCAGTGGCTTCTCGAACTAGTCTTTAATGAATAAGTGAAGTTTTAGTAATCTTATACGCAAGAAAGCCAGCTGATTATGGTCGCCATATTCTGCACTACAACCAGGGAGACATTTGTATACCTATAAAGATGCACTACCCAAAAAGTGGATTTCGATCAGCCCACACCACTTTTTCTAGTTCCCCCCCCCCCCCTCTCCACTTCAGTAGTCTGAGCAAATGTGGCGCACATTCGAAGTCCCAGCATAGAAATACTTCTAGAAATGTCTTTTCTTAAAAATCGTTTTTCGATATATTTTTGACCCTGCGGATAGACAAGCAGACAATTTATGTTTACTGGACTCTTCTCTACGAGAAAGAGAATATTATTTGTAACAAAATAGATTTGTAAATATTTGAAATATACGAAAAATTATTTTCTTAATTTGACATATTTAATGAATTTAAATAAGATATCACTGTAGTTCAAATTTTGAGAATTCTAGTTTATAAAACATTTAAAACTGATGTTATATTTGGTCTTCTCAAAATACATTCAAACTATTTAGTTTAATTTGGTTTTATCCATAAATTAAATTCTACGTGTTTTTTTTAACTTTGTAGAAGTTTAATTGACAATATTTAAAAAAATTTGAAATCGGATGACAATTTATTTTATTTTCTGTTTCTATATTTGAATAAAGTTTATGAATACGACTGATAAAATGTTTTATTTGAAGTCAAATAGAACAAATAATTAATAGTAGCCAAAAATATAATAATAACAATACCGATGCTGATGAGAGAACGAACAATACATGAGACTGATACAAACAATGAGAAAAAAAATCAACAACAATGATAATGTAGGAATATATAGATGGAGAAAGAGATTAACAACATAAAACACAACAGTTAACGTCATATATAGGTTATTCGACGACACTCAGTCTTTGCTGGAATGAATATTTTGATAAAGTTGACTGTGCTATCATGTTTGACTAGTTGGAATAATCTGGTTTGTCCAGCAGCAACCGAAGATTTTCTTTCTTACTGTTCGACGAAAACGACTAGAAGCCATGAGAAATACGTAAAAACTACCCTAAAAATAATACGAAAGAATATAAACAATCTTTCTACAACAAATAAAACATACCGCATAATTGACCCAAATTAGCAGGGTAGTAGCTAAAGAGATAAAGTACTGAATAGAATTAGGATCTGTTTTCGCATTCACTCCAGATGTACACCAGAGATAGATACTGTAAATACCATAGGGAGAGAGAGAGAAAATAATTAATATCACTTGCATACAAATCATTCTTGTCATTTGTTTTTGGGCTCCTTGATCAGCAAGAGTCGTTGTTCGTTCAATGTTTCGATAGGCCAAGTATCCGAAAATGATCAATATAAGACTGACTATAATAGTAAGTGGAACAACAATGAATAGTGGTACATAGATGTTAAACACATTATTTACATAAAGACAAACACCAGTGATTGGTGAAAGGTTGGCAAAGATAAGATATGGAATACCATGTAAACAACAAATGATCATGACAACGATCACAATATAATGGGCCCACTTAATATTACTCAAGTTACGTATACGAATATTTGGTGATGTAGCGCAAAATTGATCGATAGTAGCCAAACACGCATAACACAAAGAAATGAAACTAAGTGTAACGTTGAAAAATCTCCTAAGTTTACACCATACATTTGAAGTGATAAGAAATTCCACTGCAAATCCGTCAGATGCAACACGTAAGCCTACATTAATCAACATTATGAGAATGTTTTGGGCTGAACCAATAAGATAATAGAATGTAGAAGGATTCGTGCGGTAGTTACGCACACTCGCGAAAACGATGATGTTGATTCCATTACCTATTAGGCCCATGATAGCAACAAAGAATCCGAAGTAGATGGTACACTGCTGAGTAAGGTACACGAATGATATAGCCATTTTATTATACTAAGCGCGCGATCGAGAAATCTAAAAAGCATATTTAACATTTGACTAGACATCTGGATCAGATTTTTACAAAAATATTTGGCAGATTCTTTTGAATCGCTGAACAGTTACAGTGTAAAATGAAAGGATCATACTGTTTGTTGAAAAGACTAGACATGTGCCAGTCAAACTAAAACTTGCATGATCAAACTACCAACATTATATTCAATGAACACTTTTTTCGTATAACTTGACGCTTAAACACATGGGTTACTTAATTTAAGTTTGAAAATAAATGTACTTTCAACTGTATTCTGTTAATTGGAAAAACAATTGGAAGAGACTGAGTAAGGGTCTGAGTATAACAAAACTAAAAGATAAAATTCTATCTGAGTATTAAATCATATAAAATCCTTTTACTACTACTATTATGACACTGAGAAAAAAAGAACATGTCAAAACATCTGGAAAAAAAATACATAGATCATGCTGAACTTCTCAATGGACTCTCACTATTGGTATCTTCGAAGAAATAAACTACAAAGAAATTTTTCCCTAGTTTTTTGACAATATATCAGAGAAAATAAATTACAGAATATACAAGATTCTAAGTGAGGTATGAGAACAAGAAGCTTTACCGTATATTCGCTACTAAATTATAAACTCATAATTGAGATAAAATTTTATTTTTTGTCGCAGTTATATAAATACTTCGTTTGAGTTATAATTTATAATTCAGATGAGAGCTCAAAGAAGTGTAAAAAACAAGCAAAATATATTTTTATCATATAATTATCCTTTTCGTTGCACATGTAAGTGCTTACTTTGAGCTATAAATTATAATTGATAGACAATTATCTTTTGCCCTGTTGCTCCTTTTATATGACGGATTGAAGAAAAACGAAGAAAAAGATTGTTAGCATATTCCCTAGGAGATTAAAATATAAAATATGATTTAATCGGTATTATTAGTAGGAGAAAGAAAAAAGTCTATTTAAAGAAACAGATCGAAACAACAAACGTTCAAGAAATAATAGTAACAAAACAAAAAATAAATTTCAATCATTTAATTTGCTCAGAACAGTGCATATGAGGCAAGATTTTCTGTAACCTACTGTGAAGACGATGTTTATTGGGAAGAGAGAAGACACACACAGTAGAAATGAAGCAGAACGTATATATAGCCTGCCATATAAAAATGACTCAGAAAATTCGTTGACTTAAGAGTTCTGGTCATGGGTATATGACACGGGAGTGTATAGAGCAATGTGACATGGCTGGAAACCATGACACCTACATTCTACTGATCTGTTACACATTACCGTTATGATGAAGTGATATGTCGATATTTTAATAATAAATAAACAACTATGCGTATGCATTGGACTTCAATTCCGATACTATATCGATACGGCCTGTAGTCAAGGAGAACAGCGCGGTGGATTCATATATCTATCTTTCTACACATTAACATCCGTTTTAAATCGTGCTTTACAAAAAACTCTCAGATAGGAGAAGATTGGAGAAGAACAAAAAAAATGTTGAAAGGAAAATCCAAGATTAGAATTTTTTTTATAAAGTTCTTGGTTTAAACGACACTTGAAAGTGTTTACAAGGTGTAACAAAAAATGAAGATGTTAAAGCCAGAAGATTAATGATTACTTATCTCTATATAACACACGATCGACATATGTTTTAACTCAAAATCTAGACAGACACGTTTTTCAAAAAACGATATGTTAACGCAATTCTATCGTTGTTACGTCGTTTAGACAAAATCTCGATATGTATTAACGCATTATCGTGCGTAGAAAACTGAACGGGTTTTACTACTTTAAAGTTGACTTTGTTAGTTATCGTTGATAAATAAATTATAAGGAGTGTTATTTCGTTTATGGGTTCAAACTTTATGGTGTTTCATCTGCGATATAGTAAAATGAGGAATCGTTTGGTGTATTTTATATTAGAAGTAGATAGAAATTTTGCGAATGTTTTGCTTTTTCTCACTTTTATTATTGCCTTGTGGAAAGTTTCCATGATACAACTAGGAAGGTAAGTATATTTTTCGTCAAAATTCGGATGTTTGTAAATTAGACTACATGTATCGTACTAACTTATATGCTAGTTACTTACTCCGACAAGTGTTATACACTAACCATGAGAAGAGAGTGATATTTGTTAGAAAAAAAGAATGAGTGAAACTTGATACTGACAGTGCTATTGAATGCATGTTAAATTTACAGAATCTGACAAGTGAAAAGTGCGATAATTGTCGTTAACAATTAGTCGATTGAATGGCGAGAAAACAAGTGTGTTAATGAGCTTGTCAATTATTAGAGCAAAACTGCTTTGATCGATAAAGTATTTGACAGTGATGTTTTTGCTAAGTTATTTTTACATTTTTTGACAGTAGAAAAGATTGTTTCTTTTCAGGTCTTATTTAACACTTCTTCTTTCCAGTAACTCGATGATAAACACATTTCATGTATTTCTCCATATGGAATATTAAGCAGTGTATTGGTTTTATAACTTTTAATTACAGATCGTCGTAACTAAGTTTTTTGGTGTGTTACGGGATGGGTGTGGATATGGATATTACATTCATGCCACACCTACATCCACTCATCCATACTAACACCCACACCCTTCTATAATTCTACTTGATTCAACATTGTCTAGTAGATATTTTCCAAATACATCAATCGAAATAATTTTTAATGAAACTGTGATTGAAGAATGGTATTTCTCTTTTTCATACCATAATATATATTATAAATTTAAACCTTCATTTTTTTGGGTGTGGGTGGGTGTTGCTGTCGCCATAGGGGTGGGTGTGGGTGTGAGGATGCTGTCAATCCCTGCTCACACCCATCCACATCCTCAAGATTACTTGACTGTAGTAGGCATTACGATCTGTACTTTCACAAGCACCTGAGTTATTACTAATAAGATTAAAACCAGGATCACGTGGTAGACAAGTTCCATCACCACATGAACATGCATGTGGTCGACGACATGTTAACTCTTCACAAGCGAATATCATTAAATCGATGGATTTTAAAGGTTTTTCCACAAGAGAAAATCCCGATTGACAAAAGTATTCAGTTTCATCTGTTCCATCCAAACTATTTTTACTTGTTCGGCCATCACGAAAGAATATAAGTGGAATACATTGTGCTCCGTTATGACATCGATATTTATCTTCTTTACATTCAGTTATGTCAAGTTCACTACAATATTCTTCATCTATATCAAAATTACCTCTAATACAATCAATTTTTCCATCACATATTTCACGCCAATCTAAACACATCGGTTCACGACCACGATAACATCCAGATAAATGAGAATAACAAGTATGTATCAAAATTTTTCCTTCATATTATTTACGAGCTTTAAATGATGAAACTACATAATCAACAAATGATTCACTAGGCATACTAAAATTAAATGTATATTGATAATTGGAACCAAATCATAATGACGAACAATTATTAAAAATAAATTCATCAAATTCGGTATCATTTTTAATGAGATATATAGAATATTGCCCAATTATATCAATTAATAGTGACCATTGAAGAAGATCTTCACTTATAATTCCTCGTAAACGTACGTTTTTAAATGTGTATGTACTTTCTATATGTCCTTGTATTTTATTAATAGGATCAATTGATAATGGACGTCGACAATAAGGTGTTAAATAATTTGTTTGAAACGTACGTCTATCATTTGGATCACGATCATCAATTATATCAGCATAAAAACAATCGAAGATTTTTTTTGAATTTTTATTTGATTTAATTATTGTCATTTGTAATAATATAATAGAAAATAACAATTGCCAATGCATCATAATAACTTTAGAAACATAAAAATTAATTATTATTATGATAGTAGTGTTTTGTAGGTGGGTGTGTAGATATCAATGTTAGTACCCAAACACGCACATCCACACTCACCCACCCACACCCGTAGGCTTTCAACTTTGCATAAGATACTCAAAGTGCTTAAATAGAATCTGAAGTTCTAGAAACACCCATAGTAATTCACTTTTGATTCTTTTTATTTCGAAAATCAAATTTGTTATTCATAATATTTCAGATATCTTATTATCGAAGAATAAAAAATTCATCAGTAAACTCATATACACTGTAGATTAGAAAATAAAATATAAAGCTCAGTGAAGGATATTCTAGGCATGCCTATATGGATTTATCAATGAATTTCTAATTGATTGAAAATACGATACTCGAAATAATAAGAATAACAAATTTGATTTTATAATTATTAAATGGAAAGTGAATTCATATAGGCATTCCTAGAATTTCAGATTCTATTTAGCAATTCACGTATATTGTAAGAATCAGAAAATCAGACTTTATTTTTTGTATTTAGTAACAATATATTTTGATAATTTGTATATTTAAATAACTTCTTAACATTTCATTTTAATATCTGAACAATATCTCTATTAAATGAATTAGATTAACCACTGATTTTATAAATCAGTTATCCATAAAAAAAATAAAAATAAATAAGAAAAATAAAAGTGCTTAAAATGAATGAAAGAAAATAACAGAAAAATTAATTTCAATATTCTAATAAAGGTTAAGAAATAGTTTAATATTATTTGTAAGTTTATACCTAATTGATTAAAATACATAGTACCTGAAAGTTATTGCTAACTTTTCGATTTTTTTGCAAATATCTTCGCTTATTTCAAGATGATTGTTTCAAAGAATAGAATTGAAAAAGTTTAGTGTTGTTTTTAG